TCTACAATTTACTTGCGGAAGAAACGCCGACGAATTTGTGATGAGGACAAGACCGAGAACCGGATAATTATCGCATCGCCGACAAGAGCTCGAACAAGCCGTCCACACCGTCTGCTAGATCGCTTGGAGATGGAACCGCGACTGAAGATGCACAAGTGATCATCTTAGGGTATGGACTGCATTCAATCATACTATAATTTGTTCTTTCTCTGTATTTCCCCAATGCTATAAGTCGAGATAGCGAAATATACGTCACGCGTTACGCTGTTCATCCAATGTTATTCCGTAGGTCTTATTTAGTGAACCAGTAGTGTGTAGGGCGACTGTATAGGAGGCCTCTCAGCCTTCTTGCATATAAACAGTCTACCATCAACGCGCTCCACAACACAAACCATTTGCCATTAATTGGCGGTTAAATAATGTATTGGAGCAAAACTAAAATTTGTTCTATTTGATAAGATTAGATGATTAGTTAAATGAGATACCATTCAGGGATACAATTAGTAGAGCCTCTCTAGCTCTTAAGTTGTCAATAACACACTTCTTCTGCCAGCCAAGGCTAGCCACGTCATGACAAGGACAAAAAGTTTAGATTTTTATTTTTAAGAGTAGCACATTTGTTAACGCTAGTTGTGACTGTACCGTAGTGTGACACACCTAAGTAGGTTTGCGAAAGTACTTGACGAAACACATATCAGGTTAAAATGAGCATGTAAAAATCCCCATTACACCACATGTGCGACAATCTTACGTAAAGTGCATCTACACTAATTTTAAAGCGAATTACCGAATTAGCTATTATTTTTAGTTTCATGATGAAAGAAAGCCTCTGAAGCCAAGTTTTAGAATTGTATCATACATTGTAAGGTATAATTTTGAAGTGTGAAAACACGTTAAGCCTTGCGGTCTAAATAATAGTCTTTGTTGGGCCCACTATGTGTCTACGATGTCGTAGATGCGTTGAAACCTTCACTTGGAAAGAGCGGCATAGCAGATTTTTTTTTTTGCACGAGACTTATGTCTTCATTGATTAATACTATTACATCATCATTCCACTTTCCAATCACCAGGGAAGGATTCGGAATGGTGGTTTGAATATTATACATGAAA